GCATTTCATGTACATCCGTGCAACATGTTTTGCAAGTTCCAGTCTTAAAAGATCAATCTCGTCATGATGAAGAAGAATTGCAGTGGCTCTTTTATCTTCATAAAATGCACTTAAATGACTTACTTGACAGGGCAGGATTGAACAAGGTGTTCAAACCGGAAAATATTCGGTCATCAAACAATGTTGGATCGTGTTTGATCGCCAAACATTCCCCGTTTGAACAGGGCTTTTACACCGCCTGTACTAGTAAAGTTTATAATTTTTTGGAATGTTCAATACTTCTGCGAATGCCTAAAATCTATCGCTAACTGAAGGGGCCATTATAATGAAAGATGGAAAAGAAAATCGTGACGTAAAATATACTAGTTTTAAATTCGTTAAGTTTATTAGGTGTTGTGAACAAACGGTTTTACAGCTGTGATCAGATATCAACCCATTTTAACCAGGGATACGACAGTTTGTAAAGAAAACTAGGGGCGCTTTCCGTTGGACCGAATTCCTGAAATTTCCAGGTGTGCGTAGGGTGGGGGATGGAACAGTGTTTTCCTCAATTTTTAGAAAAGAGGACAATACAAACTCGCGAGGTATAACCTAATCATTTAAAATTTCTTACCTAGAATTCCGTTCCATTTGATTTTCTTCCCGGAATTTCGGGAATTTTAGTTTGAATGGTCCGATTTTCGGAAATCCAACAATTTTCGGATTTTCCTAAAACTCTCCCAGGAAATTTTCGAGTTTGGGGTTAAGTGGAAAGCCCCCTGGCGTTGAATTAGTGAATATCTTAGTGTAAGAACTTAGGCAATCAAATGATATCTCCAAAGACACCTGCATGGCACTTTTTCCCCGCGCCAGGGCCCTAGAGGCTAGGAAGCCGAGGCACAGGGGAATGAGGACGAGGAAGATTATTATTCAGTTACAGAAGATAAAGCTTACCTTATGGATGTATGTGATAGGCTATATTGTTGCTTTGGTAACCTGTTATTCCATGAAAATGATTATCACCACCAACTGGGCATTGTTTTTTATGCTATTGTTTGAACATCAACTAGTATCCGGATTGCAATGTGCGAGGAACAGTTTTATTTGTTTTTCAACTTGTGTATCTGGTTGTGAAGAAAATCTTCCGAAACAGAAAACTTGCAACAATTTATATGCCAAGTAAGCTTTAAAAGAACAAAACAAGCAACTTTCAGTTACATGAAATTAAACCTATACAAGGATTCCTGTGGAACAGAGATTTTTGCCAGCTGCAATTCATTCACATACTGTGGGAAAAAATTCATCACTTTCCATTGCTTAACAAAACATAATACGTCTCATCCTTTATGAAACGAAAACTAAACTGGTGTCCCCTGTGGCTTTTTTCATGTGTTGCT